CGAAAAAATATGGCCCAATCATGCACTTACGTCTTGGAAATAATTCAACAATTGTTGTATCTTCATCAGAAATGGCAAAAGAAATCATGAAAACTCAAGACCTCCATTTTGTAGATAGGCCACAAATTATGTCCACAAGTATCATACTTTATGATTGCACGGACATAGCCTTTAGTTCATATGGAGATTACTGGAGAAATATGCGAAAGGTTTGTGTCCTAGAACTTCTTAGTACAAAAATGGTCAAATCATTTGCTTCAATTCGACAAGAAGAGATATCAAATCTCATTTCATCTCTCCGTTCCAGTTCATACATGATCGAAATAAGTTTATAATGTTGGTAAAAGATATTTGTTCATTAATTGGAGGATTCGACTTAACTGATTTATTCCCTTCCCAAAAGTGGCTCCATAATATCAGTGGAATGAAATCCAAATTGTCAAAGGCACACTCAAAGGTTGATGAAATCTTGGAGAAAATCATTAATGATCATCGAGATAATCGAGCAAAAGGTAAGAAATATAATGGTGAGTCTGGAAATGAAGATTTTGTTGATGCTTTACTTAGAGTAATGGAGAGCGAAGAATTTGGACTTCCCATTACAAATCAAAACATTAAAGCAATCATACTTGTAAGTATAGCGCATCTTTAAAAGTAATTTTATTTCGTGTTATAAATCTTTTAAACTTCGATATTTATACCTTTAATTTTACATGTAGGAAATGTTTCTAGCAGGAACTGAAACAGCTTCTACAACAATAATTTGGGCATTTTTAGAACTAATGAAAAATTCACGTGTCATGGAGAAAGCACAGCTCGAAGTGAGAGAGCGATTGGATGGGAAAAAAACATTTAACGATTCTGATTTGGAAGAGTTGAACTACTTGCAATTCGTTATCAAAGAAACATTAAGGCTACACCCTCCGGCTCCTCTATTATTCCCAAGGGAATGTAGAGAGGAAACAAAGATTGATGGACACAATACCTGTGAAAACCAAAGTTCTGGTTAATGCATGGTCGATTGGTAGAGATCCCAAATACTGGCATAATTCAGAAAGCTTTATACCTGAGAGATTTGAGAATAGTAGTATTGACTTTAGAGGAAATCACTTTGAGTTTATTCCATTTGGTGCAGGAAGAAGAATGTGTCCCGGAATGTTATTTGGTTTAGTTAATGTTGCACGTCCTTTATCCCAATTACTTTATCACTTTGATTGGAAGGTCCCTCATGGAGTTAATCCAAATGATTTGGACACGATTGAAACAGAAGGATTAACAGCCAGGAGAAAGAATGATCTTTATTTAATTGCTACTCCATTTGGTCACTCTAATTAAATACATAGACATAAAGAACTTTGAATTTTATTTAAGGTAATTAATAGCATATTTAAGGTGATGAATAATAAGGCAATAGAGTCTATTGTATAATAGAGTAAGTTTTTTTTTTTTTTTTGCATGTATCTGTATTTTCATATTTGTGACTTGTAAACAATGATCCATATATATGTGAAATAAATAAAACATTTAGATATATGATATCCTTTTTCAGAAATATATATATATATATATATATATATATATGGCCTTAATATTTATATTTTTTGAATTATGTAGCTAAATTTTGACGGATCTTTTAGTTCCATATCCAATATGGTCATCAAATTAGGCCCCTTGACCTTTTCCAAAGTAAGTGAAACTTCACAATCAACTTTAATGGTTGTAACTTGTATGGACAAACGTTGAAATTTCAAAACCTATTCGATATTGACCTATCATTTGTGATAGTTCAGGAATATATTTGTTCTTTTTTCGAATATTTAATGACACTATCAACATTTTACTATTGTTGGTTTCCATAAAATAAAACACGATATATTATGAAACAATACTTAACAACCATCCAAACAAAGTGTAAGAAAGTGGTATCATGCAACCTCTCGGTATCTGAAATTGAATGTTGATGGGACTATTCCAATGGTAGGCAGCACTCCATCAAATCATGTAAATAAAATAACAAAGATAGGTATAATAAAGAATAAGTTTAGCTCGCCCATACCACTTATGAACGATTGAATAACACAAGTAAAATCTATCCATCCACCAAATCTTTGTGAACAATTGAAGATATATGCAATATTTGCTCATCATTTATTTATTTATCATCATATTCATATTCATATTCATATTCTTCATATCATAATATATTGCTAAAAGTGGGAACAAAAAATGTTAAAAGTTGAAATACCATTTTACCCCTACACTAAATAAAAATATTATAAAATAGCTGATCAATTAAATATCAAATAGTAATTGTATAATATTATTATTATATTATACTAAATTCTAAAAGTGGAAAGGTGTTAAGTCAAAAATTCAAAGAAGAAAATATTCATAGAAAATTGTTAGACATTTTTATCCTTTTAAAAATAATAATCTACCTTAAACTATTTCTTATTTCTAATTACTTTATTTAAAAGATTAAGTCCATAATTTTCATATTTTCATTTTCATAACTTCCACATCACAGTAAAGGATGGTGAATTAGAAAGACATTAATGTTTTCATGAAGTAACATACATTCATCTTAATGCATTTAATGGATTACAAATTGTAACGATCGGGTTCCGTCGTTATAGAATTGCCAACGGGAGGAAATTTGGGGCTGGAAAAACTTTTTCGTAGTATTAGAATTTTCCCAACCTTGTCCAGATTTGAATGAAATCGGAGTAGTTGAGGTGTAGGGAAATCTAGTAACAATCGAGTGGATTAATTATGGTTTTGATTACATGAGTGGTTAGGTAACTCATTCTGTACGACCTTACATAATTGAATTTGGATGAGTAGATCTCCGAGAATTGATCTTAGCGTGAAAGGTATTTTCTGAGCGTCGTTGATTAGAGGTGTGATGTGGAATGGGGATTTGGAATTCTTTAAAATAACATTCTATTTCGATTTTGCTGCTTTTGCGGGCGTCTCTGCCGCTTTGGCGGGGCCGCTGTGGCAGGATGGTGGCCACTGTGGCGGGCGAGACGGGACTTAAAATCGTAATTACTCACTGGTTTGAAAATGCCACTGTGGCAGCGCAAGGTGTTGCTCTGGCGCTACCGTAACAGCGGGATGAGGGTCGCTGTGGCGGGCCAAACGCGACTTAAGGTCGTAATAAACCTCTAAACGACCTATTTGGCCCTTTTTGACTTTTAGAGCTAAGGAACGAATCCCAGGCAATTTCTACTCCTTTTTCACAATTCTTGAGGCAAAAGGTAAGCTTTTAACTCTCCAAATTTATTTTTCGATCCGTAGAACGTAATAAAATGGGTCAATGTTGATGGGGGAGGGTTTTGATATTGAATATATGGTGGAAACAACCCTAAATTGGATAATTAGGATCATGAGTTGATCTAGGGTTTGTTAGAATTGTTAGTAATCTGGGTAATTAATAATTGTTTATTGATTCCCGTATTATATTGATTGTTTGTAGACCAAGAACAAGCGAAACAAATCTGGAAAGGGAAGAATCAAGTTTCTTACGGTTTCAAGCTTGTTTCGAGGTAGGTGGTGGTTGTGATTCTATGATTATGTGATGTTTGTTTGTTCTTACTTCATTATGATACTTGTGTATATATGAATGTTGCAATGTTGATCACACTTGATGTAAATGAGATAGATGAATGATGATTGCCATGAAATCAGGATGTAAATGTATGATCTTGATGATGTACTTGTGATTGTGAATGTGGTGTGTGAATGAGATCGGTTGCCACGTTCCGGCATAACTAACTTGGATCGATTGCCACGTTCTAACATAAATATGGGATCGATTACCACGTTCCGACATAACATTGGGATCGGATACCATGTTTTGGTATGCTAACTGTTTGGGTTTGGGTTCTGTGAGAGGACCAATGATTTGTGATAAATGTATAATGATGAGCATGTTGATAATATTATAGATGTTGATATATATGCATGTTATTATAATGTTTTTTGACTTGCTTATGTTACACTAGTGGGATAGCCGCATGATCCTACCAGTACACTGTGGTTGTGTACTGATTCTGGACTTGCTCTTATTTTTGTTGAGTACAAGGAATTTTCAAGCGGCTATTGACAGACCTCGCTTAGGAGATTAGAGATCGTCGCATCGAATTCAAGGGTGAGCCAAATCTATCGGGATGCCATGTAATTCTCTTTCGTCTATGTCCACCATTTCCGAACTTAGACATTTGTTTTAGTTAGTTGATTAGTTCATTAGTTGGGGTTGTGACCCTTCCGATTTAGACTTGTTATTTCGTTAGTAGTTTTGGTACATTGACTTTCAGGTTCTAGGTTGTTTCTTCCGCATTTGTTTAGTATAGTTCCTTAGATTCTTGTTGAAGTTTATGAGAACTTCATTTATGAGTTATTTAATTTGTTTTAGTAGTTTAAATGCCTTAGTTTTGGTTTAGTTGCTTGTTTTGAGGTGTAGTAGTGGTTCTCCCACCGGAGGGTTAGTGTGGGTGCCAAGCACGACTTTCTGGGTCGTGACAAATTGGTATTAGAGCCTAGGTTCATGGATATTGATGTTCCGAAATGAGTCTAATAGAGTCACAGAATGGTACGGGGATGCCTTTACTTTTCTTCAGGAGGCTATAAGACTTTAGGAAATCAATATAGTTTTCTCTTGTCTCCTTTCATGCTATAACTTGATTCCAATTGGTATTTGACGATTCCAATTGGTATCTAACCTCCTTCACTCTTCTGTCCGCAGATGGTTAATAGTATGTTCAACGGCGCCAGGCCCGCAGCTCCCGTCAATGCTCCGATTGAGGAATCTACAACGAGAGGTCGCGATCGAGCCAGGGGTAGAGGAAGAGCTAGGGGTAAAGGTCATGGAAGAGTAGCACCCGCCGTGAACAAGGTACCTATTAAGAATGTGCCTGTGAATGAGAACCCTCCGGCGCAACATAAAGAGATAAAGGAGAATGTGGATGTTGAGGATGTTGAAGAGATTGGACAAGAGGAAGAGGTACCGGTTAGAACTACAGGTACTCCTCCCTTGGACCCAATGTTAGCTCAACAGATCATGTCGTTCTTGAAGGGATTGTCTAGTCCTAGAGTGCTTCCATCTGGCCAAGCAACTCAAGCACCCGCTAATCCCCCTGATGCTAGCACTGCGCCCAAGAGGGGTGGAACTGGAGGTAATGATGCTTTCTTCCATCCTTTGTTGGGTTCTGTTATGACGGGATATGAGCATGACATGTTGACTAAGTTTCTGAAGCTTAAGCCTCCGGTATTTCTTCGTTCTGAGACTGAAGATGCTTATGAGTTTATCTTAGACTATTATGAGAGGCTGCATAAATTGGGTATTGTTCACCAACATGGGGTTGAATTCGTGTCCTTTCAACTTCAAGGTGAGGCCAAGCAATGATGGAGAGCTTATATGAATGCAAATCTTCTACTTTACCTCCACTCACTTGCACCCAATTTCATGCTTTGTTCCTAGAAAAGTATGTGCCTAGAACTTTGAGGGATCGCAAGAAGGATGAGTTTATGGCCTTAGAGCAAGGTGTTATGTCTGTGGCTGCTTATGAGGCCAAGTTACATGCTTTATGTAGATATGCTACACAGTTGGTTACTACTAAGGAGGAGAGAATTGAGTTATTTATTAGAGGTTTGAATTCTGAGTTGCAAGTATTATCTGTTCATATGACTTCTGCAGGGAAGAGTTTTAATGAGGTGACAGACTATGTTAAGAAAGTGGAGGGGGTAAGGCGAGACGGACAAGCCAAGGCGTTGGCAAAAAGGGCCAAGAACTCGAGTAACTTTCAAGGTTCTTACGCTAGGGAGTCCAGAAGGGCAACGCTTGCAGCCAAGTAAATTCAGTCTGCTATGCTCGCTTCTACAGGTAACTACTCGGGAACTCCATCTTATAATATTTAGGATAGCCCAGGAGTCGCGCCTTCAGCGGGAAGCAGACCATCATTTGATCGTATATGTTATAACTATGGAGAACCTGGGCATATGAGGAGAGATTTTCCCCACCCACGTGTGTTAGATTCCGCACAGTAGCATTCTAGAGCAGTGATACCTGCGGGGAATGTAATAATGGTCGAGGGCGTCCACAATATGAGCGAGGAAATGGTAATGGTAATGTGGGCAGAGGTAATGTGCAACCAGGCAGGGAGGTGGTTCATAAATATGATAGGGACTCAGTTTTATGCCTTTCCGGGCAAGAATGAGGCAGAGATATCTGACGCGGTGATCATATGTACATTCTTGTCTGTGACCGGATGGCTAATGTGTTATTTGATCCGGGTTCTATTTATTCTTATGTATCTGTGCGATTTACCTCCGAGTTTGATATGATTTGTGATGTACTTGATGCCCCTATCCATGTTTCTACCTCAGTTGGAGAGTCAGTCATAGTCACTCATGTCTATCGTGCTTGT